GTGTGCGTGTGCGTGTGCATTTTATCTGTTTAGTCTCATTTTCTTCCATTGAGTCCAAAGTGTATGGATGCCCTGTTTTCTCTTAACACACAATGAATTCTGTAAGATTTTGATTTATGTGTCTTTGTGTGGATTCATTCCTCTGTTAGTTTTTCTCCATGGGTGTGTCCAGTGTGTTTACCCTTCTTCTATGTGGCAACACCACGTTCCCCTGGGCTGTAGCATTTGTGTCTGCCACAATGGGCCTCACCACCTTCAGTCACAGGTACTGGCATCTCTCACCCTCTATCTCTCTCCCTGAAACCAGCTGCTTTTTTTGGATTAAATGTGATGTCCCCAAGAGTCAGTTTGTCTGTTTTGTATTGCTGTTTTGTTTTATATGCTCCTTGGTGGGACCATTTTATAACCATTACATTCATTTTCATATCTATGAGGGCAGATCCAAACAGCAGCCTCTTAGACATTACAGTACAGTCTTTTTTTTTTTTTCTTTTTTTTTTTTTAACAACTTAAGGAAAATTGCCAACACTAGGACCGTATCACCTTTTATTTCTCCTGGGAAAGGTTATGCTTGCGGAGAACTGGTCATTAATATCTACTTTAATGTTTAATAAGGCTTAATCAATTCCAAAACAGTTTAGCAAACATTACTCAAAAGGAAGTAAATAGTGCATTTGTTGTGGACTATTTTCAGGTACAGATTAGTACACATTTGGTGTAAACAATGGAGCTCTGTGACTCAGAGGAATAAGATATATATATATATATATATATATATATATTACAGCTCCTCAGACAATACTTGAAAGAATCAGTTAGCTGCGGGTTTGGTGGGATTTGTTGATAATAACAAAAATATCACCAGACTTGTCCTTTTTTAAACCTGAGTCTGCGTCCTTCACATGATTGCGTACTAAGAAAGAGTGAGTCACTACCGAGGCAGTAACAAACACTGAAGCAATATATGACTGCAAGAATGAGGAAGCATCAGCTGTGTGGTGTGATAACACCTTCTGATACTGTATGACCTCACAGTTTGTTGTGTGTTTTTTTTGGTTGTAGTTTAATTATGGCAGTTTTTGGAGATTAGTTTATTTTGTCCTTTTTTTTGTTTTTTACTGCAGGACATCTCATGTTCTTAATATTTATACAACACAGTAGGTTGTCTCCAAGTTAATGCTTTATAATGTAATTTTACATTTTAATATTAGTGGTATTAGTACTATAAATCATGTAAAAAAACAAAAAACCTCTTCTGAAAAAAGCCAATCAATTGAGTTGATTTGTCACATCTAATCATATAAGGTACAATCAAAGTTAGACTACTCTTCAATATTTCTAATATGTCTCAAGTTGGATCTCACATTTGTGGATCCACAGTAACACTGTTATAATGAACTTAGACAATCACGCATGTTCCTGACTTGATAAGTACAATACAGAATGTGCAAGGAACAATACAGATACAGTTGATGATAACAGGCTGGGAACAGGATATAGACCACAGTGCTCTTCAATTCAGGAGGCACAATGTGTTAGTTCAGCACCTTATAAGATGAAATGGCTTATGACATGCCTTTCTTTTGCAGCGGTGTATCTGTAAATGTTCAAGATCTTGCTCCTTCTTGTGCTGGAGCTTTATTTGGTGAGTTAAAATAACATTTCATAAAACTGTCATTATCATGAAACATTTCAGCCCTGATCATTCAATTTTACATGTGTGTATCTGCATTTCTTTACAGGTGTTATGAATACATGTGGTGCTTTCTCAGGTGAGTTTTTGACACCGAGAGCTAATGTCTGTAATCAGTCTTTCACCAGCGGTTGCTAAATTATTGTTTTCGCCTTCAACAAGTCTATTAAATGAAATAATTCATCCACTTCTCTAAATTCAAACTTTGAGCCGATGTGTCTCCTGTCAGTCATGCTGGCTCCTATGTGCCATGCATATTTCATCAAAGGAGCATTAATGGAGTTTGTGTCAGATGAATAATACAGGGAACAGAGAATGACAGTTAGTGGTCTTGTGAGGGGTGTGTAATTGACATTTTCTCTGTGGGAAACTGAATAATCACATAGAAGATGTTGTGTGCTTTGTTTATATCTTTATGATTTATATTAATGGTGATTCTGTGTGTTCCTGTGCAGGGGTCCTGATGGTGTATTTCTCGGGGTATCTCATCGAGGCCACAGGCTCATGGGCGACTGTGTTCGCCCTTATCACCACAGTCAACCTGCTGGGGCTCTGCACATTCCTGGCTTTCGCCGAGGCCCGTCGAGTCGACATTGACTCGAGTAAGATCCGCCACCACAACATCCACATCTAAACTATCCGTCATCAAAGGGACTAGAATGATACTCCCCAGGGAGAGACGACCTTGAGCAACCAGCAGCTTGGAGAACATTGGAGAAGTAGCCAATGGATAGCAAGTAGCACACGGATAAAGCCTGCATATAACATCTGGAAAACTCAGGCTCTGTTTCTGGTTGAGGAAGTACTGCAACAGCTACTGAAAAGCACACAGCACAGTCTGCACAATGTTACTGAAACATCTTGTGGAAAAAAAAAAAGTCTACACTACCTCCAGGTCCCAGCTTGTGCAGCGTGTGGTGGTTAAACAGTTGCTGGGCTGCTGTTTATGCTTCCAGAATGTGTTACAAAAAACGTCATGGAAATTGTTATCCGGTGTGTTTTGTGTGTGTGCGCGTTGAAGGAGCTGTGCGAGTGATGGATGTGTTAGTCTCAGGAGCTCTCTGACAGTTGTGACAGACCAAGGTGGTGTGTTCTTACCCTGCGGGGATGGGGGAGGTGGTGCGGGCACACGGTGGGTGACGCAGGGAGAGTCCAGCCTCTCGTACCTGGATTCTTTTATTAGTACGAACCACTCACCCGTCGCTGAGTGAACTGTCTGAGTGACACCTCATTACCCAGCCACTAATTACTTGGCAGGCCCTCTAATGTCCTGTACAATTTACCTTCTATGGTCCCCGTCTCCATGGTTATAAGCTCATCTTATCGTTACGGAGGAGGTGAAAGGGGTCATGGGAACCTTTATGACAACAAGGTTTTTTTTTTTTTTGTCGTCTCAAAGAATGTGTTTGAGTTAGAAGACCAAAGGTTATTGATTATTTTTATTTCTATGTGATTGCATGTGATAGAAATACCTCACTTAATTGTTTTTGATTACTTATATATTTATATGGCTTAATAATTATTATTTTTTTCAATTTAAATTTTCAAATTGTTTTTGAAAAAATAAACATATTTAATTAGATGAAAGAAAAATAAATATTTATTAGGTAGGATGACAGAAAATCATAGTAAGTTATCAATAGTGTGATGCAGTATGAATAACCTTAATAGACCTTTCTGCAAGTCTAGTTTCCTAATTAATTCTTCTTCTCTGACCTGCACTTTCCTGTCTAGGAAGGGACGGGTTTGGTGGAAAGAAACATCACGTTATTATCTTGAAAAGTGCACAGGCAGGCGAGCATCCTCTTTGGCTTTTTTTGTGTCAAAAGATCCATCCTTGTTATCGCACTTGACATCATTGTTACGCATAGGCGCTGTACAGGAAGTCAATATTTGGGAATGAGATATCACAGGAAGGAGGCCCATTTATGGTGGTGTCAGAGGTACCTGTGCCTCCATGTTACACACTGACTGAATTGTGTGTGTGACAGGTGAGATGCAGTTGAGGACCTGGGGAACAGTTTTGGTGTATTGATTATAATATTACAGCAAAGTATGTAGCAACATACAGCTAGCTGCATTTAGCTTTGTTGTTCACAGCTTTACGGTTTCCTGTTTTACATTTGGAAGGTTTCATTTTCATTCTAGATGCTTACTTGACACGTGTACCTTTTTAAATCTATGCATTTATTATTTTGTGCCTGATTTAACCAATGAGAGGTTTGTAAGCTCACTGTGGTCACACAGTGTCATTTACTGATCATTGTACATCTCTAATGTTGCCTTCTTTGTAGGAGTTTTGTTGCTTCTGTATGATTTGCTATTGCATTATGATCATTATTATTGTGTGTGTGTGAATTGTTATTATTTACATACAAAGGCACGGATGTTTGGATGTTTTCCATAAACACTTCGAAGTGTATCCTTTTGGTTGAACATTTAAAAAATGCCCAGCATGTGTCTTACATGGTCAGTGGTTACGAAAATGCGGGCATAAAAAATGTGTTGTATTTATTCAAACCATTGCTCTGTGTCTGTCAGTCCATTAGAGATTAATTTTTATGTACGAAAAAACATATTTAGATTATTTGTGAGTTACAAAGACACAGAAACCTATTAACTATATAGAATAATTTATTTTGATATCTAATCTGAAATCTGATCCAAATGTGACTTTGAGTCTGTACTACGCTGTTTTCTAGTAGTAGTGTTTTCCTAGGCCTTTCAGTTACACAGTGAATTTACATAAAACCACTGTACCATATACTATACGCCCCACATTCCTCACACGTTTTACCCGCCTTAGCAGATGTGCATTATTTACAGCTACACATTGCTTGTCCATTTTTTTTTTCTGTTACTGTGTTGACATTTACTTTTTTGTTTACCAACATATCTCACTGAAGGCTCCTGACAAGCCTTCTAACAAATAGTTTTTGATAAGATATGTAAGATATGTATGATAAAAAAAATACATCAATGCAAGAAAATGCAGTATTCTAATGCTTTTAAGATGTTGTATTTAAAGACATATATTAACTTTGAATAAAAATATATTTTGTCAACATTAGTGAGTTGGGTCTGATGCTGCATGTATTTTCTCCGCAGTGCCACAGAGAGGCAGCACAGTATCAATAATGAGGAGAGCACATGGTGCCATCTAGCCTCCAAATACTTTACAAACATTTTCTGCCATGTAGAATGGAGGCCTTCAATGTGGAAGTATGATGATCTCTTTAAGTTTTCAGTGAGATTACTGTCAACTTCCAACAGCAAATATTACCCATGATTACATGAAAGAGTACTTTCATACACCTATATGCACTGCATACAGGTCAGGAATGAGCAAGGTTTTCCCACTATGAAGATGAGAACCATTTGTCTGTACATCGGTAGCCAATTCTGCATGTGGATCAGCTGCTAAACAGGTTCTGGTGTAGGTCTGTCCTGTTCACACCAGCGGCTCACTGCAGGCCCAGATCCATAGTCCGGGCTAGCAGGACGTATGTGGTGGCACCATATGGCAGGATGCTGTGTGCCATGTTGGCTAGTTGGCACTGCCCACGTGTGAATGGCCAGACGCTAGTCAACCCAACCCACTCCCTCCTCATGGGACCGAGCGGCTCAGGTTGCCATGGAGACGGGTGGCTTGTGGCTGCTGCGTGGCAAAGAAAAGAAAGGGAGGGGTCACAAGTGAGTGAAAGTAACAAGTCAGATAGAAGTCAGTGGAGTGGAGCGAGTTGGCAGAGAATTTGGCTTTTGATGTACAGTTCATGCAAAAACAGCCATGGTGTTAAAGAGGTGGTCGGTCACTTATTGGAGTGCTCTCACTGACAGAAAATGGTGTTGTAAAAAGCAGACATAATCATGATGAGTGGCCCACTATTTAATTAGCAGAGATGAAACACTGTACGGGGAGTGTAGAGGAGAGGGGAGATAAACCCTCCCCCAACTTGTCGGCTGGTAAGAGTTAACCCAGTAAAGGCGGGCCCCATCAGAGAGCCGGAGATACATGTAAATGAAATAGCCCCATTAATTAGTAATTAACATCAAGTTAATGACATTTCACTGTGTCGCCATCTCATCCTATGTCCTTCCTCTGTGGTGGAGGGGCTGTCTCTCCGGTCCCTGATCTGAATGCTAATTAGTGCAAAGCTAAACTGCCATATAGGGCTACCTAATGATATAGAGGCCCAGTTTAAGACTGGTCATTGTGCAGGGAGGATTAATCACTTTGTAGTAGTAGATCAGGAGGCTTTATAAGTCTGCCACTCCTTAGAGGGCTGTGATATTGAGGGCCATTGACAGGTTTTATGTGCTAATTGCGTTGCGCCTGTTAGCCTAATGTTGGGTTATCCCTCATGACTTAGAACTACTTTTAACCATTCTCCTAGTTTTCAAAATATATCCAAGAAATATTTCTGTGAGCATTAAATGGTACTGGTATGTAAAATCTACTTACTCCAGTGTCTTGCATGGTTTGATTGAGTTTGAGGGCCCGGGAGTAGATACACTCTCATTTGTTTTGGGTTCCCTCCTGAGCCTAAATCAGCTCTGTGACAGAGGTAATTTTAAACGATTTGACTACAGCCAGGGACAGTATCTCTGTGAGGCTAGATGAAACATGAAGTTAACACTCTGTACACAGCGGTGTTCCTGGAATGGACAAGAATGTCAGCTCCTAAATGAAGGAAATGTATTCACACATTGATGTGCAGGGTTATGTCCTGCAATGCTAAACTGTGCTTTGAGTCTCTGGCAGTTTTCTCTGTCTCCATTATGAATTCCTCTTGTTTTCTTTATCAGCATCTCGCTTTGTCTGTCTTTGTCTCTCTCTGTTGCCCTCTTTCTTTTCCCTTCTTTTCAAACTCTGTTCTGATACATCATTGACCCTTTAAAGGGATCCCCTGATGGCCAAACACATCCACCATTAGCACACCAGCACACACACACACACACACACACACACACACACACAACCAAATATGTTGATTTCTGTCAATTAGGGGCGACTTAAACTAAAGCAATCTGGTGATCCGCTGCCAAAGGCATGGGCACCAATTTGTTTCCTGAAATTATTTTGTATTTTTTATTTTATTTTGTTCCAGTTTTTGTTTCAGTTTCTGATAAAGGACCTGTGAACTCCGTAAACCATTTCATTTGTCAAAATAATGACAAAACTCTGACTGCAGGGGGAGGATTTTTTGGGGGTTTCTGCCATTGATGGAGGCATATTGTGTCTTTGTTATTTTCTGGCTTAATTATAATAACAAATATTAGAGCTGAAAACAGCCTGAGCTGCCCCTCTCCCTGGTTGAGGCTCTGAAAACAAAAACACTGTGTGAGAGGCTTCAACAAACCAACCTTTGGGCATATAGATGTAGACATGGACTACAATGTTATTCACAAAAACTGTTGTGGTTGATATTACTTTGTTCTGTGAAGAATAATAATTTCCTTATTAGCGTTGGGGGGGCTGAATTAGGATGAACAAATGCCATGTGCAATTTGTACACACAACACACACACACACACACACACAGCACACACAAACCAACAGCTGCCTCATCTGGCCAGTGGCTGAGCATGGTTTAATGTTATTATTGCGCAGGGGATGGGTCTATGTCCTCAGGGTTCCATTAAAATGAATGCCACCACTCCAATGGGACTTCCATTTGCTCTTTAGATTGTAACACAGGCCATATGTCTAGCAGAGAGGCAAAACAGCTGATGGGGTT